GGGCAACGGGCGCCACGAGCCGTGCGGAGACACGGGGGGGACACGGGGGGGACATGGGGGGGACACGGGGGGGACACGGGAGTTTGGGGCCATGGGGGTACAGAGGGCTTTGGGCTATGGGAGTTATGGGAGATACGGGGGGGACACAGGAGGGTCCCTGCCGTGGGTCTGGGGTCAGGTTTGGGTTGCAGATGTGGGTCTGGGGTCCCTGCTGTGGGTCTGGGGTCCCGCTGTGGGTCTGGGGTCCCCACTGTGGGTCAGGCCGTGGGTCTGGGGTCACCTTGCTGATTTTGATGGCGCAGGGAGCCCCAGGGGAAGCCGGGCAGGGACAGGGTTGGGTTTGAGTTGGGTGATGTGGGTCTGGGGTCCCTGCCGTGGGTCTGGGGTCAGGTTTGGGTTGCAGATGTGGGTCTGGGGTCCCTGCCGTGGGTCTGGGGTCAGGTCTGGGGTCCCCGCTGTGGGTCTGGGGTCCCACGGTGGGTCTGGGGTCCCGCTGTGGGTCTGGGGGCCCACGGTGGGTCTGGGGTCCCGCTGTGGGTCAGGCCGTGGGTCTGGGGTCCCCGCTGTGGGTCTGGGGTCACCTTGCTGATTTTGATGGCGCAGGGAGCCCCGGGGAAGCCGGGCAGGCAGGTTTTGAAGGCCGACAGCTCCGAGAAGGGGCCGCGGCCGCAGGCGTTGAGCCCGGCCACGCGGAACTTGTACGCCGTGCCCGGCTGCAGCTCCTGGCGCCGCAGCTGCGAGTGGTCCGGGACCCCCGAGGCCTCGTCCTGGGGGGACACGGGGGGGGGACACCGATAAAGAAACCCCCCTGGCCATGGGGACACCCTGGGGACACCTTGGGGACACAGAAGGCAGGGGTGTCCCCGGGGGTGTCCCCAGGGCTACTGGGGTGTCCCACAGATGTCCCAGTGTCCCTCCAGTCTGTCCCAGTCTGTCCCCAGTGTCCCTCCCCAGTGTCCCCAGTCTGTCCCAGTCTGTCCCAGTGTCCATCCCAGTGTCCCCAGCGGTCACTCATGTCCGGGGGTGCATCCTCAGTGACAGAAAGTAGGGAGTGACCATCATGGTGGTGCCCTGTCCCAGTCTGTCCCAGTGTCCCTCCCCAGTGTCCCCAGTCCATCCCAGTCTGTCCCAGTGTCCCTCCCCAGTGTCCCCAGTCCATCCCAGTCCATCCCAGTGGTCACTCATGTCCAGGGGCGAGTCCTCGGCCAACAGGAAATAGCGAGTGACCATCACGGTGGTGCCCTGTCCCAGTATTCCCAGTCTGTCCCAGTATCCCCAGTCCCTCCCAGTGTCCCCAGTGTCCATCCCAGTGTCCCCAGTGGTCACTCACGTCCGGGGGCGCGTCCTCGGCGGGCAGGAAGTAGTGAGTGACCATCATGGTGGTGCCCTTGATGACCCCCACATCGAACCATTGGTTTTCCTTCTTGGGGGGCGCCTTGGGGGGCGGCGCCCCCGGCTCGGCCTTCTGTGGGGCAGGGGGATGGGTCAGGGGGGAATAAAGGGAATTTTGGGGGGTTTGGGGGGAAATTGGGGGGTTTGGGGAGGAATAAAGGGAATTTTGGGGGGTTT